ATGGGGAAGGGGGTTATCAAGGATAGAATAGGAGAAGAGTGTGGGACAAGAATATTATAATTGAATTACTGGGTTCAGACAACTAGGACGTGGGCTCAAACATCAAGATGAGATTAAAAAAGGAAAAATATAGAGAATTAAGATATATTTAAAAGGCAAACTTAGCAGGAATTGATTAATTGGGAACTAGATGAGAGGGTGGGGGAAGGTAAGATCACAGGTATCCAGGTTGCCTCCGAAGCAGAGTGATATAAGAAAGTGATACAACCCTCTTTAAGCGCCAGAAAACAAAACGAAATACAAGTACAATAACGAAGAAATATCATTTTAGCTTTGGAAATGTCAACATCTCAGGTGTGCTATAAGCAAATGGAAACACTAGTTGGAAAACCTCGTAGCTTCATTGTGATAATGAAATAAGACATTACAGGAGGAAAAAAAGACATGATAAATCATAAAACACTATATAAACACATAAAATAGTATTTTGAACATATAGTCTTTTTTCCTCTGTGCTTTCGTCTATATTCTGATTTTGGTAAGCTAACAAATGATTAATGGGTATAATTACTGTCCTTACAAAACCTTAACTTGGAAGTTAAAAGGAAGCATAAAGTTGAAAAAAATCAGGGAAGAAGACAGGGAGTAGGAAACCTAGAAGATGAGGAATAGTAAGTCATTTTAGTGCTCATTGAAAGAAGTAAAGTTTACACAAACAGAAGACACCAAGAGTAAATAACATCAGCTTACACAGTAACCAGCCACATTGGCAACTGAGCACTTGAAATGTCATTAATTGAATTGATGTGAGGTAAGTAAAAAACATACAAGAATCCAATGATGAAAAGTAATAAAGGAATGGTAATTCTCTCATTCATTTATATATATAGATTACATGTTTAAATTCTAATATTTGCGGTATATTCAGTTATGGAACATATCATTATCATTGATTTCACCTGTTCTCTTTATGTACATGACTCACATTTGTCTCACATTAGATTTTTACTAGACAGTGCTGGAATACAGCATGAGCATGAAACTCATAGTTATTCTCTTGTTTCTTGCATCTTGTTTTGCATTTGCCTTCTCCTGTCATGTGAACTGGCTCTCCAGATGTTCCAGTTCCATCTTGACTTTCTCCTTTGCTCATTGCTTACCACCAGAAAGTCTTGTAATTAATGGAAGGATGTTGGTATATGACTTTCCAAATTCTCCTAGGCAGATCTTCTGCCCTCTTCCAGCACATTCTGTTCCCTTTTTAGTCATCACCATAAGTGATCTCTTGAAACTGTGTCCAGATTATTAGGATTGGAAGGAATTTTCAAGATAATCTAATCCCACACCCTGATTTTATGGGTGGAAAAAATCTACAATTACAGAAATGCTAGTAGAAGTACATAAAAAATGTTTTTTCCACTACCCAACACTTTCACTGCAAAAGGGCCCAGTTTAGGAACAAAGGGTTGGGGAAATAAAGACATTACCTGATTAAGGGAAATCGAAAGATGTTGTTATTAACAGACCTATCCTTAAAACTTGGCTAACTTATATTTGGGTAAAGAAACCTAAATGGAAGTAAGACTTCCTTACTTCATGCAAAATGGTAAAATGTCAATACCAGTAGACTGTGACCAGTCACATGTGTAATACCATGAGCAGCCACTCTGAACTATAGAGAGATACACTCAGGAATGCATAAATCAATCAAAATAAATTCTAAACATGTTCAAGTAATGCACAGGAAGGCAAGAAAAGAGAAAGTTGGGGGTGGGAATGGGAACCAGGGGAAACAAGAAAGTAAATAAATAAAATAGCAGATTTAATCCTAGCATATCAAAAATTACCAGAAATATAAATGATTCAAAATATCCTAAGAAAACAGAGCTTAGAGTGAATTAAAAATATTACCCAACTATATGCTATTTACAGAAAACTCACTTTAAATTCAACATAAGTAGACTGAAAATTAAAAATGAATAAAAATATACCTGGCAAACATAAATTTAAATAATAATGAAAGAGCAGAAGCAACTTTATATAGGTGATAAAATTACACAGAACTAAACACACAGACACAAAGGATTGCAAGTACAACCATGAAGATACAATTGACAGGTAGACTGTATCATTATCAATATTCAAGTTGTGATATTGTACTGTACTTTTGCAAAACATTTCCACTAAGGAGAAACTAGCTAAAGGACTTGTGGGAGCATTCTATTATTTCTTACTGCTACATATGAATCTATAACCGTCTCAATGAAAATTTCAATCAAACAAAGATTTTACCTAAACAAAACAAATCCACAGACTGAAATGAGTATTCTTCTATCTCAATTTTAGGATAAGTTAGCAACAATAGAATTAATATTCAGTTTCTCCCCTTTATTTAAAGTTATGTAAATCATACCGACTGATTTAATATTTATCATGCATATGGTCCACTACTAAGAAAATGTTTATTTTAAAATTCAGTCTTTTATAAATAAATCTTGAAGAAAATAGTGACATTATAAAGTCCAACTATTTCCATCAGATAAAAGAATCTTCAGTAATAAAAAGCAGAGCCAAAAGAGATATATATCAAAAGGGAGCTTAGTCTATGAGGGTTTCTCAGGTATCTGGGAGCATCTCTAATTTTGATTTTGAGATTTAGGTCAAAAATCCTTACTTAGACTCAACAATACAGAAAGACACAGCTAAGGCATATGTGGATTAATATCCGCTTCTGTGTAGTGCACTGGAATGGAGGTCTCCATATTTTATTCAATAAGTGACCCCAACACCTTTTTACTCCTGGCATAATTCAAGATTGAGCACCACCTCCATTTCAAATTTAAATTAATGGGAAATTAATGATAGTTTTGCTTCTGAATATTACTACTTAATCAGTTCTATATGGCAAGTGCTTTAATCTTATGCCGCTTCATGGATGTTGTCTCTTTAAATTGTATTAGCCTATTTAAATTACCATATTAGCATAAATGTATAACTGAAAATACTCAAAGTATGCAAACAGAATAAATCCTGAGAAAAATGTGCACTGTCATTAGCTAAGGCAAGAAAATGACTTCTAGAGATTTAGAGTTATGTACAGAATGAACGAGATTTGATGGGACAAGGAAGTAACACCACAGTTGACCTAGTAGAAGATAAAATGCAGCACGTGCAGTGTGTCAGTGGGTTCCAGACCTACTGAAGCTATGTATTCCCCAAGGGAGCCCACTAAGCTGGAGACAGGAGTCCTGAAACTGCCATAGAGACAATGAAAAAGAAAGTCCTAGGGGCAGATGGAGAGTCTGCACTAATTTTTTTTTTTAATTCAGTTAATTCTGATGTGCAACATCTACTGATAAAATTTGGGAAATCAATGTACTGAATCAAGGTCAGTAAACTGTTTCTGAAAAGATCCAAACAGTTTATATTTTATACTTTGGGGACCATATGATCTCTGCTGAAACTATTCAGCTGCGTCTTCATGTTCAAGCAGCCAGAGGCAATATGTAAACCAACAGTGGTCGCTATGTCCATTGAAACTTTATTTATGGACACTGAAATCTTAATTTTATCATGTCATCAAGTTGTCTTCATTTTATTTTTTTGACCATTAAAAAGTATCAAAACCATTTTAACCTTCTAGCCTGAATAAAAGTAGATGGTGGGCGGAATTAATCCTGCAGCCTTGATTTGTTCAACCCTGCATGAAATTAATATCAGTATTTCCTTCGTAAGTCAGAATTAAAATTTGATTTACATTGCTTTGGATTTACTGGGGGAAAAACCCAGCATCAATTACTACTTTTTCTCCTTTTTGTATGTTCACAGTGTTTAAACAGTTCAAAATCCTATGTAACTTGAAAGTTAAAGGTGGAAAAGAATGAAATGAATTTGGCTCTGCAAGTAGCAAGGCAAATGAAGGCATTATCCACATTCTCTGGATGACAAGCAAGTGGTGCTTTCTGCGTCTGTTGATCAATTTGAGACTATCAATACAAAATTATATTTTTAATTCTGTCCAGTTCTTCATTTATTTGTATAGTGTCATTACTACATGATGTATGATGGTGCATTTAATGTAATTTAACTTTAAATGGTGTTGGTTTAATTCAAGTAGCTTTTTAATTAAAGTAAACCAACATTTGCTGCTTCATTGCCTAACAAAATAAATTGGGAGTGAGCATAATGCATGAATTTAAAATATGGATAAAGATAATAACTCAAGATCCTTCTTCCACATATTTCCTCTTAATGAATTTCAATGGAAGCCTTAAATTGTTCTGTAGGACCACAGAATAGGGTTTGTGCTACCTCTTTTTTTTAATTTACTGTAGGTAACTAAAGGTCAGGATATATTTAACCTTTAGGGAAGGGCTCAAATCACCAATGTAATATAATCTTCAGTAAAATGGTCTAAATAAGCAAAAAATTCATAGAAGTAGGGAACTGACAATCAATGAGGTTCTTTTTTTAACCAGAATTTATGTTACTGAATCAAAAAAGGACTTATTTAAAGTCTGCACTGAGTCATGCTTAACTTTAACTGTAAATACTACAGCTAAGCCCTGCCCCCTCATGCCATCCATTCTAGTGGAAAGAGCTAGATAATAAACAAGCAATTATATCTACATTTTGTCATATGGTAACAAATATTAATAAGATGACAGGAGGAAGGAAGTACGGTATGGTATGTGCAAAGCTACCATTTCTTTCTTTACAGTGGTCAAGAAAATAGGCTCTATGAAGGTGATGTCTCAGCATAAAGAACTAAATGAAGTGAAGGAAAAAGTCATGTGTTTATCTGGATGAAGAGCATTCCCAAGCAGAGGGATTAATACAAATACCCAGATATGGGACCCCATTTGGAATGTTCCAGGAACAACAAGGATACCAATATGGATAGGCAAGAGTAATTGATCTCCATAAGTATAGGCATTGATCTTTTTATATTCACCTGCCTTCTCCTTGTATCTGGACTGGGTCTATGATTCATTTCTTACCAATAGAGTGAGATGGGAGTGATCCTTCACAACTTCAGAAGACAGGTCAGAAGACCCCACCATTTTCAATCTTCTTGTCTTAGCACATTTATTCTGGGAAAGGCACCAGCTCTGTAAAACTTCCGTTTACCCTGCTGTTGAGAACACATGGATGGGGCTTTGCAATCATTCATTCATACAATCAAAGCACCAGGAATATGTGAGGTGCTATAAACAAGACTAGCAAGTACCTGAATTCTACCACCAAGTGAGACTATTCAAGAATCACCAAATCCTACCTAAAATCTTCACTAACAAAATCATGAAAAATTAGGTTTAAATGATTGCTGTTTTAAGCCACTAAGTCTTGGGGTAGTTTGTTATGCAGCAATAGCTAACCAGAACAACATATGGGGTTGATAGGAATAAAAGACTGTGTGAACAGGCAATATACAATGAGGCATATAATCACAAGACCACTGAGGAACATTAAATCAATTTCTAATTAAAAGGCCTAGGTCAACTATCTACAAGTGAGGTGCACGCTTGGGGCAAGACTTTTTCATGACTGAGGGTAGTAGAACAATTTGAAACATTGACACCAGTGACCTTTTGCTTCCTTCTTCCCCAGAATAAGTTGCCCACATGTATGGGTCTAATCTGGGGGCACTGGCCACTGCTTCCCTGGTCAGGAAAACCATTCAGAAAGGAAAAATTTCATGCATCAGAATGTAGGTCAGTGAACAGAATTCATTCAATGGATTAACACAGGGAGGACAGAAATCTTTATTGGAATACTCCATTTTTTTCATTTGAGTTAGAAACTAGATGTTTGAGATGGAAACCAGATGCTTGAAATTCATGAAAGAACAAAATTCTAACCTCTGAGGCATTAATTAGTTCAGTATAGAAAATACTAACGCATGGCTATTAATGGCCATGCTTTTAAAAGTTATCTGTACCTTCACTCTCAAACTATGACAAAGAAGACAATCACAAGGTCATCTGGCCATCAGTCTCCAAGATTTCAAGGAACAGGTTCATCAAAACTAGTTAAGGTTAGTTTTTTCTCTCACTAATGGGATTCATTTGTAGTGTCATTTGGTTTGGGAAATACTATTCTAGAAAACAAAACTAGAAGAAAACTTCATATTTGGTATAAGTCAGAAGGACAATAATACTTAACTATAGGCAACTTTTAAGAAATGATCACTTGTGGCAAATGTTATGCTATGTAAGTCTTATAAATGTTATATAAAACCAATAAAGTAGGTACTATAATTTACATTTCATGTACTAGTAAGTTAAGACTTAGACTATTTCAATTATTCACTCAAAGTTAAGTAGAATTCCTGATTCCTAAGTCTGTGTTCTTAAAACACTGTATTACAGGGAGTTATATTGCCTATATCATAAGCAAGTCCCCTTGAGTTTATGAAGAGTTTATAAAGATAAATTTTGGTCACTAATAAGATGGGTTGTTTTCAGTTGAATTCTGTCTTGATCTTCAAATTAAAAAAAAAATAACACATTTGTATGAATTGCTTATTTTCAACCATGAAAATCTATGTTAATATAAATTTAACATTAAATTAACATCATATAATAGATAATAGATACAGAATTTCTGCTGATCAAAAATACAAAGGAGTTGGTCTGAGGGAGAGCAATTAACTGAAACATTACACTCTTGGAATACATATGAGGAAAAAAATAAAACCTGGAAAAGCATCAAAGCCCAATTTCAATATCATATGGGATTCTGGCTGACTTTTCTTCATTTATTTGGCCTGTAGGATTTCTCAACCAATTTCTCAGTCCTACAGGCCAAATGATGATATATTCATAAAAAAGGAAAAATAGTCAAGATGGAAAATACGGATCTTATTTAGGTACACACAAAAATTCCAGTTTCTACACCCAGCATTCACAGTGTTCTGGGTCTGCTTTTTTGGTGGCCAAAAAACATAAATTTATTTAATGTGAAAACTGTTAAAGTTGGGCATTTTCATTTAAAACGGTGTTGAGCTAGCTTCCTTGCCTTTCAGCTAAAATATCTTTGAAGTCAAAAATATAAAAACAATGCTGAAAATTAATGCAACTTATCTGAAACCAGCATCTGGAAGGAGTTTCTAGCTATAAGGCTGATGGAGCTGGGTGGGAAAAAATGAGATTGTGACCACTGATGCTTTGCCCCCTGAATTAGAGCATCTCTTTCAGCTTAAGAGAATGCAAAGAATAGAATAATTTCTTCATTTAGTTTCCACTTTCCCCAACTAGACCTGGAGTATAAGAAAAATTAACATTATTCTGCACAATTCTGTCCTTTTAGTTTCCAAAGGATTAACTTTCAAGCATCTTTACAATCATATTGAAACTACAGCTGCCAGGAAAAAAGCAGGATGAGTAAGTAGGTGGTCAGCATAATAGACAGTTGTGGCTAACCTAGAAGTGGGGACCATCATCTCTAGTCCCTGGAAAGGAAGGTTTGTAAGAGGAAGAACCTGGTAGCACTACGCTATAGACAGAATTATGCCTCTTCAAATTTTTGAAACACTAGTGTCCAATGTAACTATGTTTGGAGAGGGGTCATTATGATGTAATCAGGTTAAATGAGGTCACAAGAGTAGTGTCCTAAACCAATAGAATTAGTTTCTTATAAGAAACACCAGAGTGCCTGCTATCTCCACCATGTGCGGACACAGCAAGAAGCCTGCTTTTTTATAAGTCAGGAAGAGCTTTTCAACTAGAAATTGAATCAACTGGCCCTTAATTCATGGACTTTTGCCTCCAGAATTGCAGGGAAATTAATTTCTGCTGTCTAAGCCATCTTATCTATGGTATTTTATTATAGCAATTCAAATTCAAACAGACCAGGACAAACTATATACAGGAGACTGATTTTTGTCATGAATCTATCACTTCAGTCCTAAAAGAACTAGGCAATTATGGCAACTCAGTGCTCGAAGGTAATCTCTGTTATATTAAGATGAATAATATTTAAGGACCATGCTAAATAGGGAGAACAGTCATGTTCATGAATACAAGATGTAATCTTGTCACGATTTCAGTTTAAGGCATTCCAAAGAAAGAAACAAGATTTTCTACAATTCAATGAGTCTTTCCTAAAACTTACATGGCAGAGCAAAGGACTAAGATGCTCACAAAGAACACATGGGAGGGATTAAAAAAAAAAAAAACCTTAAGAGTACTTGTCCTGTTTGATATTAAGATTTGGTATAAAACTAGTGAGTAAGACGAGGTTATCTGGTGCAAAGAAACAGAAGTAGATCTGAGTAGGGAGCACAGAACCACCAGTACAACATGTATATAAAAACATTGTATAACAGAGATGACATTTCAGGTCAGGGAGAAAAAAGCAGATGGTTGAATCTATGAAGCAAAAAATAAAATAAAATCTCACACCATACATAAAAAGCAATTCCAGATGGACTAATGATTTATTTGTAAAAGGCAAAATTTCAAAACCTTCAGAATCAATGTAAGACAGTACCTTTATGACATTAAGATTAATAAACAAGAAAACAAGCCAAAAGTAAGCCTGAGCAGCAATGATAATATCAAACAAAATAAAAATCAAGGTAGAAAAGATAAGTAGCAACAGCATATAGTGGGACAGAATAAAGTAAATCGAAGAGATAAGGATCATGAATACTGACACCTAAGATTATAAACTGAAAGAAGGCAGAGAAACAAAGGTGATAAATAAAGTAAAAAATAGATACAATGATTGGAATTTAAGATTTCAACATACCCTTCTCAGAGCTAAATAAATTAAGCATAACAAAAACAGAAATAATAAAAATAACACATAGATACATGTGAAATTTGACACCCAAGAAACAGAATACATATTTCTTGGAAAAGAAAACACTCCAAAAATTAATTACATGCTGTTCCACATGAATACCTCAATAAATTTCTAAAATTCAGTAACAAAATAACATAACTAAATAGCCCCTCTACCAAAGGAAAAAAAACATCATAAAGGAAATCTAAAATTACTAAGTGATGAAGAACTGTAAACATTTTATCGCAACTTGTAGTCCATAGCTAAAGCAATTTTCAGTAGGAAACGTATAGCTTTAAATGGATACACAGAAAACTAAAGATGTTGAAAAAATAAACAATGAAAGAGGCTGGGGTAAGAACAATAAAGAAAATCCAATGAAATCAGAAGAAAGGCGAGAATAAAGATAAGTGAAATAATTTAAAAAATAAAACACACAATAGAGAAGATTAATAAAATCAAAAGTTAGAATTTTGAAAACCTGAGTAATCAGGATTTATTCCATTAATAGAATAAGGTTCTATTTTAGGAAATCTATCCATGCAATACACCATAATAAGGAGTTAAAGGTAAATTAAATGGTTATCTCAATAGAGGCTGAAAAGTAATGATAAAGTTCACCATTGATTTTTATTGAAACACTTAAAAAACTAGAAATAGAGAAACTTCTTAAATATATAAACATCTAAATATCTAAAAACACTGTAGCAAACATTATACCAAATGGAAAGGCTATAGACACATTCCAATGAAGATTATAATCAAGGGAAGTATACTGCTATCACCATTATAAAGTCTTGTCCATGGTACATGCAAAGCGAAAGAAATGAGTCACATATTTTTTTCAGCTGTGATTATCCACATTGAAAACTCACCAAAAAATCAGTAATCACTTAAATTAATAACAGAATACAGTCAGGTTGGTAGGTATAAAGTTATTTCTCTATACCAGCAATGACCAAATAGATAATAACATACAGAGTATAACCAATATAAGGAAAAAAATGTCACTCAAAGTAGCAATTAAAAATATAAAACATCGGGCCTCCCCGGTGGCATAGCGGTTGAGCACTGGGCTGCGAAGCTGCCCACAGCCTCTGCAGCGCCAGTTCAATGCCGGCAGGCAAGGATCCCACGTGACACAGGAGACCTCTCCTGTCTCACCTGCTGCTCCCCTCAGCAGTGTTGTAGGGTAAGGAAAAATTTCAGGCTTTTCTGCTCTCCCGCCATCAGGATAGATGATGGATCTTTGGGGTCCTGAATGCATACCTGATGGCGGACACCTGGAGTAGGGTGTGGGCAGATGTAGATAGGATTCACCTTGGCTAAGACTGTGCTTTTAAGGGCGGCATCACGGGGACGCCAGCAGAAGCTGAGAAAGAAGCAGGAGAAGCCGAAAGAGAAGCCAAGAGAGAAGCAAAGAAGCAGAAGCAGAGATCACCGGAGAGCCCAGATAGAGTGAGGATTTGCTGGGGACTGGGAGGACTGCCAGCCTCCCGGCCCCCCAGCACCCTTGCCTGCTGTGTACCGGGTAAATCCCAATAAAAAGACCTGCAAAAAACCACTGAGGACTCTGACTCCTCCTTTACCCGGTCTGCTGGATTATAGAAAACCTGCACTGTGCCCATTCCTGCCCCTTATAAGTGTACATCATCAGTCTTGCCTGTTCTGCTCCCTGCTCTGGCTCTGGTGAATTCTCTCACCCTCCTGTGTTTCTGACTATACCCAGTGCTTGTATAGAAAAATAAATAAATCTTTTTTAAATATATATATATATATATAATATCAAGATAAAAAGAAAATATAAGCCATTTTTAGTTTTTAAAACAGAGGGAATTGAATGTGTGAATTGGTTTCAAAAGGGATAGGAAAGCTAAAAAAAAAAAAAAAAGATAGTACAGTGAGCCAAATCAGAGATCAAAGTAGTCAGACTGGAGCCCAGGGGCAAGGTTTACCATGCAGCTGTAGCTGGTACCACAGTGGCACTGTCCATCACAGACCAGAGCTGTGACAGAGACAGAGAGGACACAAATCCCTGTGTCTTCCTTTTCCTCTTGCCCTCCAAGCTCCTACCCGTACTTCCAATTGACCAAACTAAGCAGAAGATAACCTATTATGGGATACTGGAGAATTTATCTACCCAGGATTGTAGCTCCATCAGATGAAACCACTTCCACAGCTCCTGCCCCCAGGTTCTATGAATAGCTTCCTAGGATGGGCCTTTCAGGCCTGAAAGAATATGCTAGCTGCTGCTAGTATGCTAGGGACTATGGACCATGGGGTCTAATACTAGTTACTCCTCTATACTAGCAATAACCAAATAGATAATAACATAGAGAGCATAGATAATATAAGGAAAAATAAGATGTCATTCAAAGTATCAATTAAAAAAATAAAACATCTATCAGGATTAACTTCGCATGTACCACTGGACAAGGCTTTAAGTCCTGTGTTTCATGGTAATGGTGATAGCAATATTCTTTCCTTGGTTATAATCTTCACTGGAATGTGTCTATAGTCTTTCCATTTGGCATAGTGTTTGTCACAGTGTTTTTATATATATAGATGTTTATACATTTAGGAAATTTCCCTATTTCTAGATTTCTAAGAGTAGGTAGAAAGCTATCAATACCGTAGCCCCCATAGTATCAAGACACTATATGCTAGTATCTTGACACTTTTCAACTTTTTGTTTTCCTTAACCCTGCCTATAAGTAGTGCCTTCATTAAGCCACTTATTTAGTACTCTGAGAATGCCATTTATTTCTTGTCAGATTCTGACTTATAAATGCCAAGGAGGAGGTGTTAACACCTATACCAGGAATGAAATTCCTCACATTGTACTCATGAACTATGGCTTCCCTGGAGTCATCTTCTATTGTCAGGGGAAAAATAAAAGCAATTCAGATACTAGATTAACAATGAGATGATTCTTTCTTAAAATTTGAAACATGATAGAATTTAGTGCATTAGAAATGCAACTCTCTTTTCAAAACGTCTTTCTCCAGTCAAGAAAGCACTTCAAGACCAATTTGACACTTGTACTTCCTAAAGCAGCAATTTAAATCTTGAAGAGATCTATAAGCAACCAAAACAAAAATTTTAAGTTCTTTGTAGAACATATTTCACCAAGTGCTTCCAATCACTGGTTTCCAATTACTGTCAAACAGCAATTCTCTTTAATTTCTTTAGTTATTTTCCTCTTTATCTTCTTGATTTTGAAATTTAAAAAATGAATAATTTAGAGAGAACTGAAGCTATCAATAAAAATGTTATCATTCCTTCTTTGGATAGCTATGGTATAGGCCTAAAGGCACTTGTAATAGAGATGCTCTTTGTTAAAGAGATTATCAATTTTTGAAAACGGTAAAAGAGTTACGTGTCAATTTATCATGAGAAGATATTTCCAGTTAAATCTTTTTTATGTGCATAAAAAAATAATCCAAATCTACCATGTGCCCCTTTTAGAACCAGATTTTTACTGTTATTCATGAAAACTTCCACCTCCAATTTCAATAACCTTCTACCAACCTAGCCAGGCCCCTTCCCAAAAAATTTTCTACCCATATCATTAATATTTAAAATGCTGTTATATTGACTGTCAATTTAGAAAAAAAATGAAATGAATTTCACAGGGTTTGGTGATGTATGTTAGGCTACTTTGGATAGAAATTTCTCTTTCTCTCCTCCTAGTGAGAGCTCAAACCATTTGGGTTAGAGGAACAAAAAGAATAGGAGGATAATATTCCATTGTGTATATGTACCACATCTTCTTGATCCAGTCATCTATTTTTGGGCATTTTGGTTGCTTCCATAGCTTAGCTATTATAAATAGTGCTGCTATAAACATAGGGGTGCAGGTGCCCTTTGGAATTACTGTTTCTGTGTCATTTGGGTAAATACCTAGGCGTGGAATGGCTGGATCATATGGAAGCTCTATGTTTAGTAGTTCAAGAAATCTCCACACAGCTCTCCATAGTGGTTGGACCAGTTTGCACTCCCACCAGCGGTGCAGGAGAGTTCTTTTTTCTCCACAATGGAATATTACTCAGCAATCAAAAAAGATAAACACATACAGTTTGCAGCAACATGGAGCTAGAAGGGATCATGCTCAGCGAAATAAGTCAGAAAGAAAAAGAAAAATACAGATGGTCTCACTCATAGCAGGAATTTAGAAAACCTAAATAAGAGAGCAGGAAAAAGACTAATCAATACAAAGTAAAAATCAAAATCAACAAGCAATTATAAACCAGAGACACACTGGGGAGGGGGTGGGGGGGGAGGAGGAGGGAGGGGGGGGAAAGGAAGGACTAGAGTCAAAATAAGGGGGGTGCAATTGTATGGGGAATATAACCAAAATGAAAATGCAAACATTGTGCAAAGATGAAAAAAGATGTAAGAATTATATAAAATCAAATATTTAAATAAAAAAATAAAAAATAAATAATTTTTTTTTAAAAAATTAAAAAAAAAAAAAGAATAGGAGGATAAGTGAAGAAACTTTAGAAGAGACAAGTTGATGAATTTCCTTGAGAGTAGATAGACGGGGCCCAAGTGGGAAAGCAGTTGAAACTGGAATAGCTAGTCCCTGCTGAATCAAATGTCTAATGGGTCATGAGAACACTGAAGTTTTATGTACAAAGTTAACCAGAAGAAGATAATCAACTTCATCCCACAACACTCAGTCAGTCGATTATCATGTGACCTTCTTCAGGAAAATTCAGGTTCCAGAAGTAACACCTAAAGGAACTGGTTTTGTTGTTCTCCAAATATTTGGATTTAGCAAAGCCTACAAGCCTGAAACTCAAAGGAGAGTATTTCTGTGTAGCTATCAAGAGCATTAATTATAGTGATTCACCAGAGAAGCAACAAGATTCAGGAGGTCAGAGAGAGGTTAGAAGTTTTATAGTGAGAGAGATCAGGTTCTTTAAGAGTAAGATGAGAGAAATGAGTGGAAGTCATGGTCCAAACAGCAGAAATTCAGAGCTTGAAATCTTCACCAGCTCCAAGTGAAATCATGAAGTAGAAAAGCTGATAGAAAATGAGAAGGCTGACAATACTATGAAGACAAAATATGGGAAAAGTAATAAACACAGACACCAAATTTATGTAGGAAAACAAGTGTAGAAACCATACAGCTAGAAAACAAAAATACAATGTTAATAAAAAAATGCCCTGAAATGCAAGAAATTTATTTTCACATAAATAATTATGTTGATTTTTAAAAGAATTTGAATCTGTCATCTATATCCAAAAAGCACTGAATCAGTTACAAAGTGCCTACAAAATAAATTACTCAAACTTTAAATGTTTAACTATTTTTCTTCAAATTTGGCTTCCTTTTCATTTCTCATTAAGAACTGAAATCCTTCCAATATTGAAATATATAGTTTTATCTATTTTTAGTTAAAGTTTAAAAGGCATTTTAATGATTTCAGTATCTTCTCATGCAGAAAAATTTAGATAACTTCTTAAAAACTCCTCCAGCTAGGCTATTTTTTTTCAAGCATGAAAATTTCATCCTCTCCACCATTCTATAATTTTTCTAGTAAAAATCATTTTTACATTTTTCTGATCTCTTTCATCACAAAAATAACATGCAATGTGGGAAATAAGTCTTTAAATTATTCTACAAGCTTATTTATTTACATTAAAGTTAAATTACTTTGTTTTTTTTATCTACTTTTAATGCCACATTTGAAGATTTAATTCCAGATGAGATTTAGCTATAGAGGAAAGACTGACCTCTAAAACTAGGAAGGAGCTTAGCACATTATTTATACTTAAACTATACCTGTAAATGATCACCAATCTGTCTTTCTCACCCTTTAAAAATGTTTTCACATTTAATTTTATGTAGTTAACATTAGGAAATAGTCCAGGGAACTCATTATTGCACTTTTTGTAAGTATGTTTTTGTTCTAGCTCCTAACGAAGATTCTTTCAGGAAGGTCCATAGGAGAAATTTCTGTATCTTCCTGCCACCTAATCACTGATTATTTTCTTTGATTCATAAAAGCCAAAGTTGCTTTTATCTTTAAGATGCCTACCAAAAAAAACCCAAAAAACAAAAAACATATCCTGTTAGTCCTTTCTCCAATAGTTATTTTTTTAATGGAAATTTTTAAAATTGACTGGTTCAATATGGAATTTTCCATATAAAAGTGTGTGGCCTGTTCCTTGCAAGGAATGAGATTTCTTTATATGCATTTTGTACGTTTTTGCCATACTTACTTTCATTCTATTTTCCTGCTAGTATTCTCCCTCTGTCTCAGCTCTCTGACTCTCTTGAGTTTAACTTGTTTTATCACATTGTATATGTCTTGGAAGTCTGTTTCAAGTCAACCTTAGAAAGGAATGTTATAATGAACAAAAACAGCAACAACAAACAGACTTAGTTAAATCAGAATCTCATTTGCGAAACAGCTCCAGTAGAGAAGTCATCAGCACAGACAAAATGCAATAAGATATACCAATAGATACACAGACAGGTACCTATTTCACAGAATTTGCTGAAAGAGCTTTTTTGGTATCTTTTATGCTCATTTTAATACCAGAAGTCTACTGACTGGAATGGAATCCTGTTTTGTTTACTTCTCTAACACAGCAGCAGGAACAGTGTCTGCCTTATGGTAAGTACTCAATTAAGGTTCATTGAATTAATTAGTGCCACCTATAAACGTAATGTTTCACTTCCTCAGGCCATGACTACAGTTGCATCCAATTTCTTCCGAACTACCATGAAAATGCAAGGAATGCATACACACATGGTTTATGTGAGAGACAATGAAATGCCCATTGATATTGGACAAACCAGATACCCTTATTACTTTTTTTTTTTAATGGAGTTATTTATAATGAAAAAAAATTGCCTGGTTCAACATGATGTTTACACATAAAACAATTATTACTCTGAATTCTACAAATAAGATGTTCAATTGTTCTTCCCTTATAAAGCATGTGTTACTATATGGTAACCTACAACTTAAATTTTTTTATAAAATAAGTCATTCCTGGGCCTCCCCAGTGGCACAGCAGTTGAGCGCTGGGTTGTGAAGCTGCCCCCAGCTTCTGCAGCACTAGTTCGATCCCCGACTGCTCCCAGGCCACCGGAGTAGGGTCCCACATGGCACGCAGACTTCTCCTGCCGCCCGCTGCTCCCCTCAGCAATGTACTTTGGTCCTTCTGCCTGTTCTGCTCCCCGCTCTGGCTCTGGCGAATTCTCTCACCCTCCCGCGCTTCTGACTGTACCCAGTGCTTGTATAAATAAATCTTTAAAAAAAAAAAAAACTCATTCCTTTAAATTAATAAGTAATCTTAGCATTTCAGTTTCACATGAAACATTTACATCATATTTTATAGAAAAGAAGGTAAGGAACTTCTTAACAAGACCTACAAGCATGGAGAGAACAGAAGAAGGAAGAATAGAAATAAAAATATTGTAAGCTGGAAAGCAGATGGATGAGCAGTAATCAATTTAGCAGAACAAAAGCCTAAGCTAACAGCAGAGAACACTGAGAACCAAACTCATCTTCACCAAGGAATTCTCAAAGGAGTCAGAGACAGGCAACAACAGGCACTTCTGGAAGTGGGTGAACGACATACAGACTTTAAATAAAAATAACTGGGTAAAAGCATTGTAAGAAGCAGCTCTTCTCCTGGAGACTCCACTTTGCCCCAGAGTGAAAGCTCTTTCCTCACCCTAGCAGACTATAAATACATTCTCCAGAGAGTGTAAATGGAAGGTCTCCATACTCAAAATGCCAGACATAGCAGAAAGTATAATCTTTGAACCAAAAATAGGGATTAAGCAAAAATATGCCGACTGAATGCTGAAATCTCCAATCTTTTGAATGCTGGCAACCAGGCCATTATCCTCCAGGCAGTAGATTGAAAACGCTTCTCTGGGAAATCCAACCAGTCCCAGAGTAAAGATGTAAGATATTTACATTGGGATGTCCCAACTAACAACCAAGCAGACCATTCCATACTGAAACTAAAAGTCAACCAGTCCCAATCTCATGTTAAGAGCTAGTTAGCTTCCATTAGTAGTATATAAAATGCAACTGATTTATCATTTATCATATAATCTCCCTAAATGAGTTTAATAGTTGCAGATAGTTTATTTTTCTATTCTTAATATCCTAACAATCAGTCTTGTCATCTGTGAAAAAACAGTTTTGTCCTAAGCATCAGTATTTTTTAAATCTCCCTAAGTGATATGGATTATACTTAGAGTTGAGAATCTCTGCTGTACTGCAAAAGCTAGAAATAAAAAACAACCAAAGAGAGCTCAGTGCAAGAAACAGAAACTTCAAAGAAATGACAACTCAAAAGAAACTAGTGCTGGGGCCTCCCTGGTGGTGCAGGTGTTAAAGACAGCGCTATCAAGTTATTGGCAGCCACCACAGCACCAGTTGGATTCCCTGGCTGGCCAGGGAGCTGACCCACATGGTGCAGCAGACCTCTCCAGTCTCGCCTGCTGCTCCCCTCAGCAGTATATTTCAGTATATCCACCTGTTCTGCTCTGTCTCTGGTGAATCCTTTCACCCCATACCCCCACACCTCTGGCTTACACCCCAGTTCTTGTATACATAAATAAATAAATCTTTAAAAAAAAAAAAAACTAGTACTGATATAATCAAAAGTATCAGAGAAGAACTGATGTATAGATGTTCCAACTCAGAAGTTAAACAGAATTGATTTTACATACTGGACACACTTTACTTCTGACCTTGATTTCACATACTGGACACACTTTACTTACTTAAGTTCTTTGAAACTGTTTCTTCATCTACAAAACAGTGATAATATTTGCATCCACCTCAGGGTTGATGTGAGTGTAAAATGAGATAGTACTTGGAAAGCGGCTAGGAAAGTGTCTGCCACAATGTATTATTAGCAATGTGCAGCAGTCACTCTAGGTGAAACTCCTTTCACTGTTACCTGTTATAGTGAGTCAAATAGAGAAACTGCCCTTGGCACACTAAATCAAATAAGCAATCTTATTAGTGAAAATACTATCAAATTTCAAAGGCAAACAATACATCAGTTGGTGGAGAACAAGCAGAATTTGTGTATGTTAAAAAATAGTTTAATGCAGTGATTATTCTCTTCTAAAATGAGTTCTCATTTATAAAATTATCTTGAAATTTTTTCACTCACATTTTCTTGGTACAAGGTATAAGTTCAAATTTGCCACAGAACCCTGGTCACTCAACAGCATCTGTAAAGCACCTGTGCAGCAGCTCACAGAACATACTATAAAAGTGGCTCTCTGAATGATCATTTTATACATATATATATATATATATACACACACACACATAAATCTTTAATCTAGTTTCATTTTCATCTCACGTGAATTTAAATTTGTCAGGAGTGCATGTATTGTTGTTTTTTTTTTTTTTTAACCCCTCCTGGCTATTAGACAGAGTAGACAGTGATACACTTCCATAAGTCTCAAAAAGAACCCAAGAATTACATGTCTCTTAAGTTCTCAAAAAACTTCATTTGGAATTTTCAGACCTGAACTTAATAGTCCTTAGATAATCAACAAAACATATTTCAGAATCATCTTGGCCAATAAAGGAAAAGAATAAAATTTCTCACGTTAAATGATACTAACAGGAAATGGCCCATTTTCCATTTTCCAATGATGACCTGCAAGAATAGGTAAATTCTATAAACTGTCTATTCCAAATCATTTCTATTGGAATTCAACTAAAATCATCCGTCATAAAAAGACATTCTTTGAGTCTCGGTTGGTGTCATTTGCAGAATGTGGCACCTCTCCCTAGCACTACCATTTTCATGACAAGTGTCTGGCCTAGTGCAGGCTATTTTCTCCTTTTCTTTATCTCTGTATTCTTAAAAGCATCTAGTCTATTTAGAAAACGTAATAAGTAACACCAGGAACATAACAATCTTCTTAACATTAGTTGAAAGACTTGACACTATTTTTAGAGCTATTTGAATGAAAAATGCAATTGTTGAGTTGTGTTAGCTCTTTGTAGATCTTAAATATCAGTCCCTTATCTGTTTTATGGTGTGCAAATATTTTATCCCATTTAGTAGGATGTGTCTTTGTTTGGATTCCTGTCTCTTTTGCTGTATATAAGCCTCTTAGTTTGATGTAGACCCAGCTGTTTCTTCTCCTTTGTTTTCTTTGCTTCTGGAGAAGAATACTCAAAGATGTTTCTGAGGTTTATGTCATAGAGTGTTTTGTCTATGTTTTCTTCTATATGATTTATGGCGTCAGGTCTTACATTCAAGTTTTTAATCTATTTTGATTTGATTTTTGTATCTGGTGTGAGATAGTAGTCTAGTTTCATTTTTTTTGCACATTGCAGTGCAGTCTTCCCAGCACCATTTATTGAAGAGGCTTTCCCTACTCCAGTGTATATTCTTTGTCATAGATTAGCTGACCATGTATGTGTGGTTTTATTTCTGGGCTTTCAATTATATTCCATTGGTCTGTGAGGCTGTTTTTGTTCCAATAACATGCTGTTTTTATTATAATGGCTTTGTAGTATTGTTTGAAGTCCGAGAGTATAATATCTCCATTCTTCTCCCTTTTAGTAGCAAGAGAGGAGGAAAAGGGGGGGTCAAAACAGGGGAAGGAAGAACACGAGGGAATAGGGTGATGGTTCATAGGTGATATGGTGATGGGAGAACTACATCTGAGGGGGGGAAACCAATTATTGTATAAAAATGAACAGTGTAAGAAGATCCCTGGTTGAGACATTCATACTGGAAAGTTTAAGAGCCACTATTCACTCATAGGTTAGAAAATACATGAATGCTTTTTCAAATATGTATGAATATCTTCCCCTACTATTCCAATGGCATTTTATTTATTTATTCTGTGTTTTCACTTCCTAAGACAATATCTAAAAGAGATTTTAACAAAATTACTCCATGAGATAGTTGCACTGGTGATTACAAAACACTGCCATTTGGAAGAGTCCCACCCAAGTGTGAAAAGAAAACCAAGTCTATGGTGATTGCATTTGCTTGCATTACTTCTCTCAATGACAGCATTTTCTTAGAAAATGATTAATTAGAAAATTTGACTATTTTAATTGTAGATATACTAAACACCCAAGTTCTTCCAGTTTTCTGTTGAGAAGAAAAACCTCACTAGAAAACTCAGAAGGTGTTTGTTGCTTTAAATACTGGTGTTTTTGTGAAAAGGATATAAATCATCGTGTAAATTGATTCTTAATGGGCGTTTCACTTAGAGAATGACTTCCTGTTTTGCTCTACAAATAAATAGCAACTGCATTTCACTGCTAGGCAATGTGGATAATAAATAATCCACAATACAAGGATTCCCTATAGCATTTGGATTCAATTTTTAACCCTTCCATAGTTGCCACTCATTGATACCTCTGAGACTCACCAAAATGACAAATTGATTTCCAAAAATGGCTTTGAAGAGTGAGGAGCAATATATTATTTTTTAGTGAAGACAGAAAGACTGTACTCCCACACAAAGTAAGAGGTCACTTGGTCTGTAAAACAGCCAACTCCAGTTGTATAATGAAAACTGACCCTGGCTCTCTGAAAGCTTACTTGGAGGCTTCCAGAAAGATTTCATCACTACATGGACTATGGTATTTATATGGGATGGGCTAGTTTAATAAGCTGTTTCACCAGCTTCTTAACTTTCACTGCAAATATTTCTCCAGAAGCCAAGCCCTCCAATCCTGCTCATTTTGTGGGCTCGAAGTATTAATTATAGTTTAGGTTCTACAAAAACAAGTAGAAAGAGCCATAAGCTTCTATGCTTGTTGGTTCCTGAAGTGGTTGGCCACGACTTTTTTTTTGTTGTTGCCATTTTAGTCCTTCTAAGCAAGAAATTCAGCATTTTATAGTCAATAATCCATAGACCTTGAAGTCTTCCACGCACCCTATTCTCACTTGTCTCATTTTGTAATATGTTACCAGTTCAGCCTTCAAAGTAAAAAGAAAGGGAAAATGTCATTAGCCATATCTATAAAATTTGATTCAAATCTCACTTTAGTCTGTTAAAGGTGACTTTTATGTCAAACTATTTTTATGACCCACTGTTTTAAAATTTTACTATCAATTATTTACTCCTTTTATTAATAAAACAGCAAACAAGACTACAGACAAGTATATCAGAAAGATGTAACATTTGCAACAACATGCAAAATGAGATTAGAAGCAAAATAAGTGAGAAGGAGAAAGACAAATACCACTTAAGGTCAATTATATGTAGAGTACTAAGAAACCAAACAAAGTTCTAAGGACCTACCTTAGAAAGCTGAAGATAGAACTGAGGCTACTGGAGGGGAAGGTGCAAAGGGATGGGCAAGAGCAAGGTGGGAAGGAGCACAGAAAAAAACAGTATTTGTATTTCACTCTTTACCACAATTCAATGTTCAATAATTTTAGGAAACCTCAATATACTATTCTCTGACAAGATACTATTCTCTGACAATATACTATTGTCAGAAAGAGGAAAGTTCAAAATGTAAGAATAGGTCATAGTTTCTTGCATGTGGAAAGAGTCTGAAAAGGTAAAGTGCCAAAGAACATCAACTTTATCAATATGACACAAGAGAAGAAGCTCTGACATACATGTTTCCTTCAACCAGTTTTTGAAAAAGTAGACAGGAAACACCCTCATCCTTTTCTTGTCTATTGTCAACACACATTAATAAGGATCTTAAAATAGCACAGATCACTGCTGTGAAGGGAAAGAGTAACACCACATTTATTCTGAGGATTGAGAGCACTGGTAAAATGTTAAAATGTGTTGTTTTTTTTAAATGACACCTTTATTTTTTTAAAGCAGTTCACAGCAAAATCAAGGGAAAGATACAGACATTTCCTGTAGACCTCCTGCCCCTACTCAAACATAGCCTTCCCACTGTCAACATCCCAGAGTGGTATGTTCTACATTTGATGAACCCACATCAACACATTATAATCACCAAAAGTCTACAGTTTACAGACTACAGTTCACTTTTGATGTTACACATTCTATGGGTTTGTACAAATATACCATGACAAGTATCTGTCATCACGGTATCACACAGAGTATTTCTCCACTCTAAAAAGCTTCTGTGCTATGTCAACTCATTCCTTCTTCCTCCCTCCAATCCATAAGTTTACCTTTTCCAGAAATTCTATAGTTGGAATCATACAGCCTGTTTTTCAGATTGGTTTTTTTTCACTTAGTAATATGGATTTAAGGTTCCTCCATGTGTTTTCATGCCTGGATAATTCATTTCTTTTTAGTGCTGAATAACACCCATTGTCTGGATGTAGCACGGTTTCTTTATTCATTCACCTACTTAAGGACATCTTATTTGCTTCCAAGTTTTTGAGTGGCTATAAACATCTACGTGTGGACTTTTATGGATATGAGTTTTCGACTTCTTTAAGCAAATACCAATGAGCATGATTGCTAGATCATATGGTGACAGTACATTTAGATTTGTAAGAAACTGCCAAACTGTCTTTCAGGAAGTCCTTGACTTGTTTTGACAATAGCAGGGAAAAGGCCAAACCTGCACTGGAGTATTTCAGACCTTCACAAACGCCAGCAGTCAATTTCTGGATAAATTACCTATGTTTTATAGATGATTACATTCTATAGCTTTAAGTTGTTGTTTTTCTAGAGAAATGGTGTTATCCTGTAGCTGCTACAATCACTATGAACAAATACTGTTTGTACTAGATATCTTATTTCCAGGAAGCCCCAGATATGAAACATAGAATACCTGTGACTTTTTTTCCCCAAAATAATAGTCACTTTCACTGGAAAACGTTTTTTTAAATACGAGGTCAATGACTAAGGCTACCCTTCCCCACAAGATATCCTTGCTTCTTTCCAAGAGAGGGCATTTTCACAGTGACAGACCAAGAAAAGGCCTGCCACCTTAGAAGAAATGGGCAAATGGACCCTGGCATAGTCACTGGGGAACTTGGCTGATTGAAATGCCAAGCCTCTTTTTGTTCTCACTTCCCAATAAGGAAAGTAAACACTCAGCTTCAAGGTATACAGATAATGTTCTATTTACTTTGGAGGAGTTAATGTAAACCTTCCAAGGCTGGCATTGCTAAGCAGAAACAGAAAAACAGAAACAAAGAGTTCACCCGTAAATAGACTGCCCACAATCATAATTCCATAAAGCCCAGAAATAACTGTTTCCCTGGCATTTCAGAACAATACAGAGATATTTTCTTAGATCATGAAAAAAAAATGTATTCCTGAGTTCTTCTAGCCCACTTCTGATTCATTGGATCCAATGTAATAGTGTAATCAATTACTTTCTGATCTGCAATTTGGTGGCCCAAAAGACATCCAAAATAACAAGGAGCTTGTCTACTTAGCCCAAAATATAAGGTCATACTTGCCCTGTCTACATCCCTTTCCTTTGTGAAATGAATCCCCCTCCCTGCCCTGCCAATATTTGCTTGGGATACCATCTAAGTGCCTTACTCTCTTCACTTGATTTTGAAACTCTCCCCTCACTCCATCTGCTAGTGCTTTGGGTCACCACTATTCTCTTAAAACTACTCTCTCAAAAGATGCCAATGATCTGCTGATCCTACAAGACCTCCACGGAGGATTTCACCCTAAAAACCATCTCCTTTTTCCAGAGGCTCCCTTCACTCTTCACTTAGGTAAGTGTGTCCTCTCATTTTTCTTCCAACTTCTCTGGAGATTTCCACTCAGTGTGCTTTTACTGAGACCTATGCACATATTACTCAGGTTCATTTTATCCTATATTCCACAAAAAACTAATAGGTGTCTTTTAAGTGCTTGATACTTCCTAGAGTTGTGACTTCAGTTTTACTTTATCTCCACAATTTCTCCCTCTGCTATTTCATTCATCTTCAAGGCTTTAATTATCACCTCTAGTCCTCCCCTCCTTTAGAGCTACCATTTTAATATATATCTCTATCATTTCTTTTTTTAAATATATATCTTTATCAATTCTTTTTTATTTATGCATACAAGAACTGGGGTATAGGCCAGAAGTGGGGAAGGTGAGAGGGTTCACCAGAGACAGAGTGGGGTGCAGAATGGGCTGATCTACTGACATACATTGCTGAGGGGAGCAGTAGGAGAGTCAGGAGAGGTCTGCTGCACCATCTGGGTTAGCTCCCTGGCTGGGGATGGTACTCATGCCACAGTGGCTGGCTACAGCTTGATAGAACTGAGACTTAACCCCTTGCGACACCAGGGAGGCCTCAATCCTTATCATTTCTTCCCTGGACTTTTTTGAAAGTTGCTTAAATAATCTGCCTGCTGACAGATTTACTAACTACCACTCATCATTTAGAAAGTAACTTTCTCCTCTTCACTCCCTTTCTCTCTGTCTCCTTTATTTCTCTTATATTGCCATAAAATTGTATTTCAAGAATTCCCCAAATTTGGAAAACTGGGAATAAGAGAAAAATCACTGATAAGTCCACATGTCACTTTTCATGGGTTTCTGCCAGAATTTTTCCAGGTATAGGTTTTTTAAAAAGAAGTGGGGAAAAACATGAACTTCTTCAACTTAAAATCAGATAAATCCCATCTATTTAAACTGTTCCAAACAAAAAGAAGAAACCTTTCAAATACCTTTTTGAAGCCAGAAATACTGATAAGAAACCTCACTTGCATATTCCCCTGAAAAGAAACAATACATCAATCTTACTACTAAATATAATATGAGCAAATTTATTACGGTAGAATAACAATGGTTTAAAAAAGACTACAAAAATTACTTAATAATAGCAACTTTCTTGATTTAAAATAGCACATTAATAGGACAAGGAAAATTCTAATCATTGCTTCAAATAATGCCAAATAAGACCTCTGATAAAATTTAAATTACATTTCTGCCTAAAAAGAACACTGAGAAAAAAAACAAAAAAAGGGAAGTGAGTGATATTTTCTTGACATAATACTAATATTCATCTATCATTGTTCTTAAAGGTGAAAAATGAGGAAAAATCTCTTAATATCAGGAAGAAAAAAGGAAACTTCAGTTTACTATTATAATTTGTGAAACACTAGCAAGGAGAAATATAAAGTAGCAATATAAAAAATAAACATATGATTACTTATAAATGACATGCCAATATGCATTGGAAGATTTAAGATTATCAACTGCAGGAAAATTCTAAAAACAGTAAGATTTTATTAATAATTTTGCAAAATTATCACAATCAAATTGATCTGTCATTTCCTTTGGAGGGAATAATGTCTATGAAACAGTGCTTTGCAAATGGAATTTGGAAGCTCTTTTTTTAAGGCATTTAAATAGAATGAACTTATCTGATCTATGCCAAAAAAAATTCTGGTAGGAACCCAGTAAGCATAACAAAGTAATTATACAAATATAAATATCATTTTTTTACAAACAATAATGAATTAGACAACCTATTATAGAAAATAATCTATGGATAAATTTCATAGAACACAGTCACAACCCTTCCCCTCCCCCAAAAAAGCAAAGAAAGCATCAAGATCTTGCTGAGGGGCACAGAGGTGATGGATACATAGAAATATATCTTGTTATTTAGGAAATGTCAAAAAATTCAAAGAATCTTAATAACTAAATTTCTAAATTTAATGTAATCCCAACAACAAACACTAAAAAGATTTTATGAGGACTGGGAGGAGCAGGGTTTTAAAGACACTGGGTATGGTATACAAAACATATATTTGACAATGTGTTAATACTGAAAATATATGAGAAACCTTATGTATACATTAAATATATAATCAACTCAAGAGCAAAAAAAGTATCAAATAAACTGATTAAAAACTGGCAAAGGATGGGCCTCCCTGGTGGCTCAGGCGGTTGAGCGCCTCACTGTGAAGCTGTCCTCAGCCTCTGCAGCGCAGGTTCAATCCCAGCTGGCCTGGCGAGAATCCCACATAACGCAGACCTCTCCTGTCTTGCCTGCTGCTCCCCTCAGCAGTGTATTTCGTCAGTCTGCCTGTTCTGTTCCCCACTCTGTCTCTGGTGAATCCTCTCACCCTCCCGCACTTCTGACCTGTACCCGGTTCTTGTATAAATAAATAAATTAAAAAAAAAAAAAACTGGCAAAGGAGGGACTCCCTGGTGGCACAAGAGGTTAAGCACTACACTATGAAGCAATCTCCAGCCTCTGCAGCATGCGTTTGATCCCTAGCCGGCCAGGGAGAAACCCACATGGCGAGGCAGACCTCTCCTGTCTCGCCCGCTGCTCCCCTCAGCAGTGTATTTCGGTCAGTTTGCCTGTTCTGTTCCCCACTCTGTCCCCGGTGGATCCTCTCACCCCCTGCATCTCTGGCCTGTACCCCAGCTCTTGAATGCATAAATAAATCTTTTTAAAAAAATTGGCAAAGGACATTTCTCCAAAGAAAACTTACAGATGCTCAACTTGGGGGTGTGTGTGTGTGTGTGTGTGTGTGTGTGTGTGTGTGTGTGTAAAAAGGTGCTCAACAGCACTAATCATCAGGGAAATGCAAACAAAAACCACAATGAGATCATCTCACATCTGTTAGGATGGGTATACTCGAACCGAAAGGACTAGAGATAATAAATGTTGGCAAGGATGTGGAGAAAAGGGAATGCTTGCACTATTAGTAGGAATATAAACTGGTGCAACCATATGGAAAATTTTATAGTGGTTTCTCAAAATGTTAAAAATAGAACTACCATAGTATCCAACAAACCTACTTCTGGATATTTAACTGAAGGAAACAAAAATCAGTATCTTAGAGATATCTGCATTCCCATGTTCACTGCATTATTCACAATAGCCTAAAACATGAAAATAACCCCAGTTGGTGGATGAATAATGAAAATTTTAAATATACAAATAGTAGTATATTATTCAGCCTTAAAAAAATGAAAGAAATCCTGACATTTGCAACAAAATGGATGAATCTAGATGGCATTATGCTAAGTGAAATAAGCCAAAAATAGAAAAATAATACTGTATGAATGTACTGATATGTGAATTTCTATGAATTAAACAATTCATAGAAACAGAGTAGAATGATGGTTACCAAGGGTGAGGAATGAGGGAAATGGGAAGATGCTGACCTGAGCAGAGATTTCAATTACAGAATAATAAGTTCTGAGGATCCAAAGTACAACGTGGTTTCTATAGTTAATGATACTGTGCTGTATGTTTGAAATTTGCTGAGAATAGTCTTATCTATTCACTTCTCACCACACACAAAAAAAGTAGCAATGTGAGGGAGTAGATGTGTTAATTAACTACTTAATTGTGGTAAATATTTCACTCTGTGTATCAAATTGTCACACTGCACACTTCACATATATACAATTTTGCCAATATATGTCAAAAACCTGGAAAAGAGAAGACATTTATAAAGTAAAAATAAATTTAAAATACTGGCTAATTCTGAAGTATGTCTGGATATATGAATATGTGAAAATAGCTAAGGGAAACCTGGAAAGAGAGAAGTAAAGAGAAAATGCAAGCATTGTCAGCAATTTAAAATATTTAAAATCATAATATTTAAAATACCATTATACTAGGGGAGGAGTGAAAAGCCATAACAATGAAACAGAATCCAGAAATAGATCCAAGTGCATAAGGAAATTTAGTCTATGATAAAGATGGAATTTTTAGCTAATGAAGATGAATTGTTTCATAAAACGTATTTCAAAATATATTAGTAGTTGGAAAACTTAGCTAGATTACTACTTAATTACTTAAAACAAAATTAATCCCAGAACAATAAGAGATTCAAATTTTTTTAAATAAAACTTTTAAAATAAGTAGAAAAATGCAAGTGAAAACCCAAAAGTCACACAAAGTTTGTTCTATTTAATAAAATAAATATACTTTACCATTTTAAAGAATATAGTAAACAAAGCCAAATGACAAAAAGTAAAAGTGTGTTTGTGTGCATAATACATTCAACAAAGTGCTAATTCTAAATATATAATATTGATAAGGTTCCTATCTAATGGAAAAAATGGCACCTTTAATTTTCAGTTCTGTCATTATAAATGGAGGTGAGCTTCTTTCCATGCATTTATTAGCCATTTACATCTTCAAACTGTTCTTATAATTGGTACACTTTTATATCATATATTTTATTGCTGTGTGGGAACTCTTTCAATATTGACAAGATTATCGGTCTGTTTGATATTTTGCACATACTTTTCCAAATTGTTGTTTATCTTTCTGTAGTAGCTTACACACATATAGAACTGAAAGTGCCATCAAATCTTCGATTTCTTTCTTCCTGATTTCTAGATTTCATGTTTTAAAAGGCATTTTTCCCATCCAAGTTAATAATGTAATATAGAAGATATGTAATACACATTCAAAGTTTTTAAGTGTCTTGTAACATGGGGATCTAAATTTATTATACAGGACTCTTAAAAAAATTTAATTTAGGTAACATTGGTTTACAACACAGTATATGATTGAAAGGTATAGGCTCACACCTCCTCAAATGTACATTTCCACACTATACCCACCATCAAGGGACTAACAGTTACATAATCTTTATTTTGTTCCATGAAATTATTTGTCTTTTTCATGCCAGTATGATAAATTTTAATGTATGATAATTTTAATTTTAATGATTTCTATACTATCCAGGAGGGTAAATGCCATTCTTACCCTTCTTTTTTAAAACATTCTTATCTACATTCACATTGTTTTGTAATTGTTCTTGTTTTTGCAGATAAATGTTTGAATCAACTTGACAAGTTTTCCCCAAATTGTATTGGAATTTTATTGGCTATAAGGAGTTAATTTGGAAAGGACAAATACTATTTCAAGAAGTCCATCCTGCCCAGGAGCATGAATTGCCTCTATTTTTATTCAGATATTTCTCTGCGATGTTTTATTACTTTGCTTTTTCAGAACGGTCTCATACCTTTTTAGTTAAATTTATTTTTATATATTTGATGTGTTTTGTGGTCAATGTGAACAGGATCATTTTCATTTCATTTTTTTAAGTATTTTTTACAGGTGCAGAAGGAAGTCATTGATTTTGGATATTTAGCTTATGCTTCTTTAGTGAATTATATATATTGCTTTTAATAAATTATCTGTAAAAAATAAAAACCATCTTTTATTCAAATAGATTACAACAATTAACCATTTCTATTAAAAATTAAAAATTAGGGGCCTCTCTGGTGGTACAAGGGATTAAGTTGCAGCACTATGTTATACACAGCCACTGCAGCATGAGTTTGATCCCTGGCCAGGGAGATGGCCCATATGGCTCAGCAGACTTCTTCTTTCTACCCTGCTGCTCCCCTCAGCAGTGTATTTCAGTCAATCTGCCTGTTCTGTTCCCCACTCTGTCTCTGGTGAATCCCCTTACCCCCCTCACCTCACCTGGCATGTACCCCAATTCTTGAATGCACAAATCTTTTTAAAAAAATAAAATTTAAAAATATGTAATATCTATGTCCTCCACAGACAATATGTCTTTGTGTCAGTACAAAACAGTAATGTTAAAGATATATTTGTTAATTATTATGAGTGGCAATTCCAGATCTAAAATCCAATCCTGGGCAGGAGTTACAAGTTGAAATCCCAACTGCTTGCTAAACTTTTTCACATTGGTTTTCCTCTGGTTCCCCAAATTCAACAACTCTCAGTAGAAATTTCATCACCATCCTTTCCTCACCCTTT